ATTATTTTATTTTCGCCACTACCCTGGATTTTTTTTTCATATTTTCTTATTCTCTACATAATTTTTTTCTCCATATAATTATTTTCAATTTTTCAATATACTTTTCTTCAACTATTTGCCTCTCACAAAAAGTTTTATTCTTTTTCTCCTTTTGGAATTTTTCCTCTATCGATCTCTACGTTTTGCTTATCAACATAACGTTAATTTTTTCTACCATTGTATCATACGAAAAAAATATAATGAATTATCTAATTGATTCTTTTAAATTTTACTACATATTACCAATATTCATCAATGTTAGAAGATTTATCAATGAAAATCGCATGCCAAACCTGATGTCCAAGTTGCATATGGAAAGAAAACTGCAAAAAAAAAAAAAAAATCCAATTTGGATTTTCATTTTAGTCAAATCGTTTTGAGATAAACGGAGCATGTTAACTCTATTTTCTAGGTAGTGTTATAAAATGTGGTTACACAAAATCTTATACGGATATTTATCATTTTAGAAGTCTTGCATGTTCACTTCTTTTAAAATTTTTTTTTGGTTTATTTTGGTCACGCCTCCAACATTTTTCAAACGTTTCAACCTATTAACTATGTTGTAAATGTCTAATTTTACCGCATTATTTATAATATTTAAAAAGTGATTCCAAGATAATACTTAAATTATAGTTCACTTTTCAAATCCTATAATTAATTTGGATTCTTAGATTTAGGAAAAAAGATACCAATAAAAAAAAGAGAGAAAAAAAGTGCTTATGTATTCGCCCCAATTATTTTTCTAGTGCTTTAATTCCGTAATACATAAATCTAATTAAGATAAGAACTTATATTAGATTAATTCGGTGTTTCTTTTGTTTTTTTCCTTTTAAGTTGATTTTAATACTTATATTATTTTTCTGCACAAATAAATCAGGTAAAATTTGTTATTTATAGATTTTAAGGATTTACAAATAAAAGTTACCGTTAAATGATGAAATGATGTGAACGCGACATGTGGACTTGTCTATCTAATTTTTTGCCATGTGGATTAGCCTATCCAATATTACGCCATGTGTCCGATTGATAACTCTTTCTTAATATATATAGATATGTATATATATATATATAAAGATAAACATATATATTTTATGTTACCTTTTCGAATTTCTGTGATCACGTTGAGTTTCGATGCGTTGATGCCAAAAGAAATTGTAAACATTTGTTAGTACAATATTTTCAAACTACAAGGAAAGACAACTAGGTTGACTTTTTTTGTTTGACAAAATATACTTTCCTTTCACTTTTTTAATCCTTTAGAGTTAATTGATCAATCCACATGTTCGATGGAATCACAATTCTTTAGTTTCTTTCGTTATTGAAAGTAGCGGCTTGTCTTTGTCGATTTTTAAGATTCAGATTGATAATCATTCTTAAGTAAAATTTTCAATGGCATGATAACACACTCAAAAATCAGATCTGCAATAACCATTAATACGTAATATCCTGCCTAATACTAATAAGGATCTATTCGTCCTATTTTAATAAGTTATTTATTCTTTTAATTGAGTTTTAAAATATAAATTATTAAAATATGACAGATAGGATAATAATACCATGGCGTTGTGACATGAATAACATGATGTGAAAAAGAAAGGAGAAAAAAGGAAAAAGAGGAGCAAATAAGCAATTAATAGTGATAAGTGGCATTCTTACACAATAGCCCTCAAAAGCCAAAGTGATCTTTGGGACTTGAGAGTTGGGACATCAAAAAACAATAAATAAAAACTATAGAAAAAAGGGAAAGGGAAAGAAAAGAAAGAAAAACTGAAAAAGATGCAATTTTGGGACAAATAAGAAAAAAAAAAACAATATTCTTTACCCCAAAAAAAAAAGAAAAAAAAAAGAACAAGAAGATGTTTTTAAAACAATATTCTAACTATGGCAAGCGGGAATTACAAAACATGAGATCTTGAGACAACATCATTTGTTACTTGAGAAAACTAGAAGCGTGTATGTGTTTCGATAGATACTTGCGACAGCAACTCATAATAAGAATATATATATATACATTGTGTGATTCAAGAAGAAAAGAATAAAAATGAGAGGCTTTGGGGGAATAATTAGAGACCATTTTTGTGGTGACGAATGGAAGACCAGAGCACCACCGCTAAACCATGAATGCATATATACGCCCAGCAACCACCTAGATTAAAACGTGGCATCAGGCATGAGATGCTGATCAACGCTTGTTTCGATTCCACTTCAAGAAATGTACTTTCTCCGTCCCAAAATTATTATCAAGATTAGAATTTTATTTTCAATACAAATTAAATTAAAAGTAAAAATTCAAACTAAATAATAATTTTGAAACAGAGCGAGTAACTCTTTTTTGTGATTGTAAATTATAATCTCTCACTCTTCTGCGGAAGAAATTTAACGTAACCATCAACATTACATTAATATGTCACCGGAACTTTCCATCTGATGTATTGACGGCTGCTTCCTTGAATTTTTTTTTTTATAGATGAATGAGAGCTGACCGAGAAAAACAATTAACACTTCAACAACTACTCTTTCCAGCACCAAGTTTTTAAACTCAAGAATGGTTTAACAATTTATGAATTTTCTTCTTTAAAAAAAAATAAAATTAGGAATTAGACTAACAGTAACAACCATTGAAAGAAAATTAAACCAACACTTTCCCTTCATATTACTTCTCTTCATAAAAATACTCCATTACATTTTAAAACTTCAGGTTCGCATAATGGATTTAAACTTTATTTTGTTGATGCAGAATTAAAATGGAGAATTGCCAGAAAGTTGAGATAATGCCAATATAAGTCACGCACAACACAAAAAGAATTGGTCAAGTCATGATTACGTTCAGCTAAACCTGCTCTCTTTTTGTCAGCCCTTCAATAATTTCAATTACTTGAAAAATGATTAATTTAATACCACGATAACCATATACCACGTTTTTTAATTGTTCTTCCCAAATTCCTTTTCCATGATGCTTTATACGCTGAGCAATGTGCGGAAATATGGTATAAGCTTCCTTGGCTTTTTATGAATTGTACAATCCCTCTTTGATCTTCGTTGCTTAAAATATATTAGGGTTGTTGGGTCCTCATGTTCATGATGCCTCACCCACTTTTGAATTGATCAAAAGACAATTAATTAATCAAAGTATTAAAAAGGCAAGTTCTTATTACAAATCTTTTCCTTTATCTACAAATCAACAGCAGACTAGATATAGGTTAAGGAAAAATAGTTAAGGGTTTTATATATAAATAGCATTTTAGTCCACCCTGGCGATGTAATCCATGTAACCAACTTTAGATATTGGAATAAAGACTAAATTGTTTGTATTATCATCAATTGTTGAACCATTAAAGGCTGAAAGCTTTGTTGGATTCTTTGGACTCTGGCTCCAAAAATTTTGTGGCCAAAAACAATATTGTAATCTGAAAACAGCCATGCACTAAAACCCTCATGAAGCACAAAAGAATATGAAATCTCTCCCCAAACAAATTAAAAAAATGAGGAAAGAGTATTCCATTTGGTGCTATCTCATTTGTTTAACAAACACAAAGCACCTAAGAATCTTTCATAAATGCACAACAGTACCATCCCACTCTATTTTACTAATCATTACTTTAATGAACATAGGCTTGGTCACTTTCTGGAAGGAACCTCATGCCATTTCATATGTTGTTTTCATTTGTATGTCAGACTTCAGGTAATATAAAGTTGCATTCACCAATGGAAACCACCTGAGATTTCAGACAGCAAACCAAACAATTTCTTACCCCTATGTTTTTGACTTTAATAAGCAGCCACCGCCCAAGAAAGATATAGACCAGATAGATCTAGTTTGCTCATAGGGTTCTTACTCCTGTGTGTTGAGAGTTTTACAAATTTCAAGGTAAAACATCCATACCTTAAAAAAGTTAGAAGGAAGAATCAATCATTTGGAGGTGAACCCAATTTTCCAGCAGAACCAAAAAGCTCATGTTTGGCCTTTTCCAACAAGATTAAGCGGCGATATGAATATGGGCAAAACTGGTTGTACAAGTGATGGATCCCTGGATGCCTCCAGGTTCAATGAGCCCATGCCATGGATTGGTTTATATATTGCAGCAGCCTCTGCGGCTTGTGCAATTGGGATGGCCATGGATGCCTTTCACGGCATTCGTTACAGAAAGTTCTGGTTTCCCAGCAAGTATTTCTCCCTCAATGCTACAACTCTTACTCTCTTAGCAGTTGCCACAAAGCTGTCTGTTGATTTGAACACATCCATGCCGAGGCCGCAGGACCAGCTAGCAAAACTGAGCAGCACGGTTTTGGTCTGCACTGTGATGGCCAATTTCATGCCTTCTTTGGGAACCACGGAGAACAACGAGATGTTGGCCAATTTGGTAGCTCTGGGGATTTTCGTCATCACTGTCACGGTGAACATCTGTATTGAGTTAGGTACGGGAGTAATTTATGTTTTCTGGAGAGAATATGCAATCATTCTTGTTGTCATGATTGTTTTGCTTGCTCTCAAGATTGCTTCAGCTCTGACAATCCCCATGACTAAGATATACTTTGAAATAAAGAGCAAGAAAAAGCTTCAATTAGCCATGAAGGAATGCAATGACAGTGCTGTTAATAGAACCTCATCTCAAAGAATATCTAATAAATTGAAGGAGGATTTGACAAAATACTGGATGATGGCTCATACCTGTAACCCCCAATTTGTGTTGGCGCGCCTGACAACTTGTAGCGCTTCAGGGGCATTCTGCCTTGTGAGTACAGCAACTCTGGTTGTGGCCTCAATTCGGTGTTTCTTCCTGCCTTGGCACTTTAAATTCTGTGAAGGTGATTCTGATTACAAGTGGTCAATTCCACCAATTCTGGTAGCTCAAGCCCTTGCAATTGGAATAGGTACTGTGGCTCCTGCTTCCAGATATTTCGCAACCATAAATTTCAGGAGCCCTAAGGAAGCCAACAAGGTCTGCAAGAACAAGTTTACTATGGAGAAGTATTGGACCGCCTTGTTTATTGTGTTGAAAGAGACCCCATTGGAATGGAGGTTTTACACCAGGTTTGGCCGGAAGCTAGCACACAACATAAAAAATATAACTTTGGACTTGTGCATTTACACGCAGATGGGGCTCGTCTGGCTGAGCAAGCTAGTCCAGCTCCTATCACTGATGTTGATAATTAGATTTCTGCTAGGCTACCAGTCCCTCTTGAAATTCATAAGGTGGGTCAAATACACGGGTGGACTCCATGCACCAGAATCAGAGTCCCTGCCTCATCCTATGCAAGAACTTAGCCGATTTGTTATGCACCTGGAAGGAGAGGAAGACGTTATCGACATGATGATGCAAAGGAACTTTGATGCTACCGGACATTGGATCAGGATGGGCACAAAGCAGCAGCCAAAACATGTGATAAGACTGCTTGAGAAACTGAGCTCATCAAGGGAGTTTGAGGGAGTCGTCCAGTTTGACAGCGACCTGGTTGATCCATTGGATCCTGAGAAACCCCCAAATTGCTGGGCTCTTCCTGTGGTAACACTGACAAGCATTGCAGTGGCTCTTCCCAATATAGACCATGACCTGAAGGAACAACTGAGACAAGGTGTACATGAGGCACTGATATATATCAGGTTCATAGAAGACAACTTAGATAGCAAACATGAACTGATAAATGTCAGGAATGCAGCAGCTGCATTGTGGACAGGGGTTGATATCTACTGCAAATGGCTGGATGTGGATCTTCGTGCCTTCCAAGATAAAAGCCCAAAAGAAATATTTGAAGAACTTGCAGAAAAAGCAAAGTATAGGTTCAAGGTATTTCGGGAGAATGATCCGCTACATTGTTTGAGAGAAAATGCTTCTAGCTGGCCAATCAAGGTATTGGCTGCCAATTCTATGTACAGAATTTGTCAGACTCTTTTGGTAAGTTCGACAGGCGGAGAATGGGAAAGTGGCAAGTTTGTGTTTGATAAACTGTCTGCAATGATCGCTGAAATCATCGGGGCTTGCTTAACAAATTTGCAATATGTTATCTCGGAGCAATGCCATCAAAGCTCCATCCAAGAGAGAGAGGACAGAACTCGACATTCCATTCTTCTTTTGGGAGAAACAGAGAAGATCTTGGAGATTCTTGAGCAGCAAACACTTCCAAGTTACAAACCAGAGCAGTCACTTCACATTGATGAATGGAGATTGTTAAGCAAACGAAAAGATCTTTTGGAATCCAGTTCTTCAGTCACAATCGAGACATCCTTTGGTAGCTCCAGTGACTTGTGTCTCAACATTGACTAATGATGAAATATTGGGATAGCATCTAGTATAAATAATACAGAGTCATCTGCTTCAAGATGTAATTTTGTCCAGTAGTTCATACTTCCCAGAAATTAGCTCAGTATTAACAATCATAGTGAATGTATACTAATCTTTTGCATCTATGAGGAAGCAGAATGTTAACATAGTTTACAAGTAAAATCAAGAAGGCTTTTCTTCTCTTCTTCTTCTTCATTTTCTTCTCTGACACTTTTCTTTTAACATAGTTTTTATTCTTTTAACGAAGAAGAGTAAAATTGTGAAAGAAAGTGAGCAAGAAAGACTAAGTGGTGGAATTCATGGTGAAAAGTTCAGCGGGCCTCATAACTTGCACAAAAGTATGCATAGATGGTGACCCTTAGGTCTGCCCGTCAACATTTAAGAATGGAAAATGAGATCCCGTTACTCTTGCCATGAATAGCAGTAGATCTCAGTATCTATTGCCATGAATAGCATGTTGTCTTTCTAGAGCAGATCTCAGCATGTTGTCTTTCTAGAGAAGAAATGCTTGACATTACACACAAAACAGAAAAATAAGTAATGTGAAGATAAGTGAGAATATACCTCTCAAAACACTCGGCTTCATTTGATAACTCAGCTTCAGTAACCAGTGCAGGGGGTGGACGCCCTATGAAAAAGTTGGAATCATCCCCTATCTCAGCTTCTCTGCACTCACCCATTAATAGAACATGCATTAGTTTGAAAACCCAGTTCCTTCAGACTTCAGAGAATACAAACTTCAGAAAGAGAAGGCTTGTTACACTGGATATAGAAGTGAGTAAGTGACACAGTTGAGGACCACAATTTACTATTCACGAGATACTTATAACAGCATCTTTTGAGCAATGAAAACAACTGTACGGAAATTCCCTAAGAATAACGATTTAGTTTGTTTAATTTCTTTTTATATTAATCAACAGAAAGTCATTGCTCTGATTAGATGGGGGATGACCAGAGCATCTATAAACCTAATCCAATTACCAAAGCACATTTTAAGACTTTCTAGTATGTACATTTTCCTATTTTATTTAACCAAATAAACGTTTCTTCTGTCCAAAGTGAAGTTGTACTCACTGATTCTCGCAATACTAGCAAAGGTAGGTTAATTTAAAGTCTGATCCAATCCAACAGGAATATTTCTTTCAAATCTGCTCCGCCAAGAAGTTAATTCAGACACTACAAATGCCACAAGGCGGAAAATGGAACCTTAGAATTAGCAATACCTCTATTCAGCTTCGGCTTCAGTTAATTTGGCTGCAGCTGCAAGTAACTCGGCAGAAGGCATCTCAGAGCCAATCACCCTGTATCCAAATATAGTTGAGTTGAGTTATACGTGTTTTACAGATACATTCTCCAAGTCAAGTTACAAATGCATTCTCCAAGTTAACTAAAGCATGTACATATCAAGAGCTTCACTGGATTACCAATGGAAAACCACAAGAGAAACATCAGAACCCTATATAACTCTGGTACAAATTTGTCATAAGATATTTACAATGTACTTTGCCAGGATTGCTTTTCTTTTCTACATAAGTCTTCCCTGAACACTCAAGAAGCAGAAAAATACACATCACATTTTTTCGAACTAACCAAGGTAAAAGAAAAGACAATAATTGGTTACCAGATTATCAAGCCATAACATAAATAAAGGAAAATACACACTTTGCCCTCAATAAACATGGTGGAAAGGAAGAAACCACGATGGTCTACTTTTTAAACTAATCAGGGATCAACGTGCATGGAAATTGGAGTAGAACGAGAAATAAAAATACCTCTTACGAGGGCAAATGTTATCTTCAGATGGATTATTAATCTCAACATCTTGTCCGTGCCTTGCATCTGGTAATTCAGCATTCATATTCTTCTCTGAAAGCATTAGAAGCTGCTGCATACGAGGCTGAACGTGATCACGAATGATGGGTCCAACAACCTTCAACGTAGGCTGCTGTTTGGATTTCAATATAAAGGCATGCTCATCAGTTTCTTTAAGGTTAAGAGAAAAGAATAGCCTTCTCAGGTGCTTTATCAAAGCCCTTTCAGACAATCCTCAAATATCAACAGCTTGACCATCATCTATCATCAACAAAAGCTGCAAAAGTACAACATTCACCACATTAATAGAGTACTAGTAGCTGTACAATTTATATTCTTCCTAATATATGAGACAAAAAAAATGCTCAAAACGTCTGGTCTATAGTGTAGGAAAACAACATCAAGATGCAATCGCATACAGAGACACAAGATATCTCAACCCCAAAAACCACAACTATTTATCACATTAGCCAATACGGTTTTACAACGTTGTCTTGATCATTCATAATCATCATCATCATCATAACGATTCCCGGTGCAAAAAAGCTCCCTGATTCACCAGAAAATGGGGGAGGGACGTTTGTACACAACCTTAATCTTACATTTTGCAAAGAGGCATTTTCGCTTTCCGTGACCAACAAGTCACAAAGCAGCAACCATACGGTTAGGCCAGACGCTCGCCCTTCATTAACATTATGGTAATAATCCACAAGTCACAAAGAGCAGCTGAGGACAGTTCTAGTGTCATGTTGACACAAGTCCGTTATAGATCTAATCAGCTCATTGTGGCCTTGATCATTATGAAAACAGTACTTGAGCTACTCTCAATGGTAAAAGAGATAAAAGTTAACCTCTCTAGTCCTCCAACCCCTCCTTTCTCAAATTCAATCCCACCAAAACTTATCAGGATTATGGCCAACCAGGTGAAAGGGGCAGTCATCAATGCTTCACAATTTATTTAATCAAACTCAATAATAAAAAGTCTAAATTACTAAGCAATTTGCAAAACTAAAAAGGTTCTATAATATCCATTGAAGCTTACAGGTAAAACATTCAAATGCCACCGCGATGTGAGATTGAATTCGAAGAAAAGAGAATGTGGGCACACCCTGTAATGCACGAGATTTGAAATAGACAGAAGGGAAGGGAAGGCCAACACATACTCGGGAAAAATAATAACTGCAACTCCTTACTCCAACCCCCCCTTTCCAGGATACATTAAAGACTGACTAAATGGAGTGCAAGTAAGAACTAATAATAGGACAGCCAAACATGAAATGTCATCATCTATATGCATAATTGATGCCCAACATGCACAAATACGAATCAACAAAAAGTTGGACTACTGAAATCCCAAATTTACAGAAGTTTAATTAGAAAAGTAGAGCTGTAAACCATTTAACTCTTACCTTCTCCTTCTCCTTGCAAGTTGAGAGCAATGAACTCCAACAACAGCCCATTGACAATTCATCAATTCACCACAAATGTCATCAAAGTCTAACTGGAATCTTCCACAACATCGCACCAACATGTCAAATTTCTTCGGTTTCAAAAATGTACAGCAGAGGTTTCGAACCCAGGACCTTGCTTCGGTTCTCAGTTCTCAATGCCCTCAAAAAAATCTGTGTGAGACACATGGGACTTTGGGGGAATTTCCGGCATGTTTTTGCAGATGAAATTGGGCTCTGTTCTTCTCGTTTTAGTAGAATTGTTGTTCAAGATCTTCAGCAGATTAAGAACGTAGCATTTTGATTGGGAATTGTGCCCAAGAAATTGCTGTTGTTTTCTATCGACTTTGGAGTGGGTTATTGGAAGTTCGGAACTTGGAAGTGGCATCAGATGTCCCACATCGGCAACAGGAGGAAATGCGAACCACTTTATTTAGCCCGAATTTGAACTTTACGGTTGTCCCTTTGGGGACATCCGATAAAATTGGAACGATACAGAGAAGATTAGCATGGCCCCTGCGCAAGGATGACACGCACAAATCGAGAAATGGTCCAAATTTTTTTGGGCTTTTCTGCCGTGTTTTGGCCCGCGATTTCTTTCGTTGTGTCTTGGGCCTTTTTAGCTACCTCGATCAAGACGCAGATGGATCCAAAAGGCACCTCTAAATTTAATTCTAAAAAAAATCCAAGTTTAGTTATCAACGTATGTTTTTTGGTAATTAATTGTTAATACATTGTCTTTAAACTTTGTTACATTTTTTTTACTTACAAATCTTAGTACATTTACTTAAACTGAGATTAAGTTAGAATATAGAAACACTTCAAAATAAAATCATCATACCATTTTATTAAAATAATGTAGTTTCGTGATGATTGATATATATATATATTAATTTAAATCAAACTAGATGCTTGTTCAGAGCACGCCCTCAACAAAAGGATATGTCATTTTAAAAATATAATATACTATAAAAAAAATCACTTATATTTTATTATGATACGTAGTGATAATAAAAAATAATCAAAATATAGTGCACGTGAATAGCCATAATATCGGTTTCATTTGGACAGTCGTAATGTAGGTGACTTTTTATCAAGCACCTGGACAAAATTGTTAAATCCATTGTTTGAGAGAATGATCCGTTACATTGTTTAAGAGAAAATGCTTCTAGCTGGCCAATCAAGGTATTAGCTGCCAATTCTATGTACAGAATTTGTCAGACTCTTTTGGTAAGTTCGACAGGCGGAGAATGGGAAAGTGGCAAGTTTGTGTTTGATAAACTGTCTGCAATGATCGCTGAAATCATCGGGGCTTGCTTACCAAATTTGCAATATGTTATCTCGGAGCAATGCCATCAAAGCTCCATCCAAGAGAGATAGGACGGAACTCGACATTCCATTCTTCTTCTGGGAGAAACAGAAAATCTTGGAGATTCTTGCGCAGCAAACACTTCCAAGTTACAAACCAGAGCAGTCACTTCACATTGATGAATGGAGATTGTTAAGCAAACGAAAAGATCTTTTGGAATCCAGTTCTTCAGTCACAATCGAGACATTAGCTCCAGCGACTTGTGTCTCAACATTGACTAATGATGAAATATTGGGTTAGCATCTAGTATAAATAATACAGAATCATCTGCTTCAAGATGTAATTTTGTCCAGTTCCAAGAAATTAAGCTCAGTATTAACAATCATAGTGAATATATACTAATCTTTTGCATCTATGAGGAAGCAGAATGTTAACGTAGTTTTCAAGTAAAATCAAGAAGGCTTTTCTTCTCTTCTTCCATTTTTTTTTTCCGCTTTTTTAAGTTGGTTCTAACACTTTTCGCAAAGCTGATGTGTTGAGGGACTGTCATCTTAGTCAACTACACAAGAAGTATTTATACATGCTCTGCAATTCACCAAATAATAACCTTCAACAGACGCAGAAACAAAAAAGGCGTCTCAGAAAGTCACCACATAAATGTGAAACACACACACTTGTGATTCTAGAGCAGCAAATGCTTCCAAGCGGAAAATCTAAAGCACATATATGAATTGACTAACAGGTGTTTAGGGGTTGATATAGTGCACGTAATTCATCTAAGAAAGAGTATTGTACATTTTTTTTTCAACCTAAAGTTAGATGCCTCTAAGAATCATACCAAACAACTGCAAGTGAGATAGAGATACTTGAGGATGTTTTAAAACTAAACATAAACTGCTTCCACGTGTAATTTTGTTCCAAAGTTCACACTTACTTCTGAGAATGTAGCACTATTAACAAAGTTAAAGTGAATATTTACTAATCATTTCAATTTATGAGGATGAAAAAGGTTAACTTATGTTTCAAGTGAAACCAAGAAAACATTCTCTATTTTGTTTTTTCAGTTCAACTACTTCAAGTCAAGGCTTGTAAATCGACTGTTAACTTAGTCAGCTACACAGAGAATTACTACTATGTGTGCTTCAATTCAGAATACGAGAAACTAGAACAGACAAAGAAACAAGAAAGTGCTATCAGCAAGTGTCACTACATAAATGTAAAGCACAGGTACTGGAGATTCTTGAGCAGCAAACACTTCCACTTAGAAAACTCAAAGAACACAACTTTATTGACTAACAGATGTTTTGGGGTCGAGATAGGGCACACAATCCATCTGGATAGAGTATTATACCTTTTGTTCAACATAAATAGATTATTATGCATTTTTTCCCGACAGATTCAGTTGCATCAAGAAATCGTACCAGAGAAAAGAAAAACAGTACTCCATAGCCCCGAGCCAAGAAAACCAATGCCTAAGGGTTACCTATTCCTACTGTGGAGGTTACTTTAAAATGAAACAATCAATTCAGAAGGCTTGACGAAGATAGGCAAAACACACAAGCTTGTAAAAGTACACGCACCTGACTTGCTATCAATAGCAGAGTCAATTTCAGAAGTTTAGCATCTGTGCTAGGGTCAACTTTTGTACATCTGACAATGGCTATTAAATTTCCAGCTCGAAATGGATAACTGTTCTGTACTAATCATCTGACAATTAGTTAAATCTCCAGCTACAAAACTGATAGCCTGTTATATACTAATTCATCAATAGGCGCGAAATATGAAGGCTCAATGAAAGAACCACAAGACTCTTTTACATTGCCAAACTCCAATCCAAGATCAGTGCATGGCAGAAAAGCAACCTTTTCTTGTCATAGTAGAAACAAAACAGAATACAGACACTTGAGATGTTGAGGGAAAAGATCAGCTCTGTCAACTATTGACGGCATTTATTCATCCTTAATCTCCAAATTCATAATTCGCAAAATATTCCCCTAAACTGCATTATGTAGGTTTGAGAAGTGCCTTTGCAAGAACTTCAGCCGGGGGACTAAGAAAGTCATAAATGATCAACTACTGAAGTATATAACAGTTAGCTAAACAGATTTTTTTTTTCCCCTTTTTATTTTCCTCCCTTTTGGTTGTGGAATCAGTTAACCAGATATATAATAGAAGGAATGAAGGAAGTAGAATGAGCACCAACAATACAAAAGCAATAACTGCAAAATGCAAAAACTAGATAACTAATAATATTTCCATTCAATAATCAAAACAATACCAATAACTTTTTAGACTTTCCTCCAATCATCCCCATAAACAATGAGAACAATAATCCGAAAAATCTCAACTTTCCAATATAACTCCAAAACCCAACACTATCCCATAAACCCCAACTAACCTAAACAGAAACAGTTAGACCAAAAATCAAACACCTTGAAGGCAAAACGCGGTCCTGAAAATTGGGTTACTTCTGTTTTGACTTCACTCTCCCCTTTCCTTCTTGGGCTTGCGGAAATTCTCCTCATAAACCTTAAACATAGATACACCACCTTTGTAGAGCTTGTTAAGGTCGGGGACGTCATAATTCTGGGCTACGTACACTCCGAAGATCGTTCCCGCCATCAATTGGAAGCAGCTCTTGATCAATCCCATTCTAAATCAACACTTTTCAGAAACAGAGGAAAACGGGGAAATTGAAGTCTGAAAATTACTTATATCAGCCCAAAATGTTTGAGATTTTAGGAATCGTTTGGAAAAAACATTGATTAACTTTTAGTTTATAAAGGTTCCCGATTTCAGTTGACCTGACCCCTCTGCCAAGAATGTGGGACCAAGTAAGCATTTTCCTTTTTAAATAATTTGTACTAATAAGAAGCAAAAAAGTCATTAAATAAACTAGGCCAAAAACCGGAAAAAAAAAAAAAAAAAAGTCCACCTAAATCTAAAAACCTTTTTACACTCTCCTCCTCGACACTCTCTTTCTACGCGATGCTAAAACAAACCACCTAAGAGAAAAAGATAAAAGCCCTCGGAATTATGTCTCAAAAACTAATCTATTATAGACATTTCTTAAAAGGATGAAAATCCACAAACTACGTCCAAATGGATAATTTGATAGCATGTTTATAAAAAAAAAAAGAGTAAAATGATAACACTAACTTTTTAAGATTATTATTATTATTATTATTGAAAATGACAGAGAAATCCAAGCTATGCCCAAATTCCGCAGCACCCTTCAGAAATTTTTTAAAAAAACCATCACTCTCTTAACAAATTTAATAATAATTATGTTATTATTCGGTTTTTGTTTTAATTCACAGATCTGAAAATCCCTACAATTTTCGCTAATACTCTTTTATCCAATAACAAATCTTTATAACTTGTGTAACTGATAGTGAAAATTTTCGCTAATACTCTTTTATCCAATAACAAATCTTTATAACTTGTGTAACTGATAGTGAAAATTTTCATAATATCTATTTAAATGAACATATGAACTAATTAATTTAGTTACAGATAATAAAAACGATAATGTAATTACTCAGTATTTCAGTTGAATTATCAATGCATCTCCTTGTTTGCAAAAGTTGACATTTAAGTACAACTTGGATAAGGCCAATGCTTGGGAGAGTTAGTGAAAAGTTGTTTTGAGTGCCTCGAGAAGAGATTGGAAGAACGGAAAAAGACATTTTCTCATCAATGTCTTAAGGTAGTTGAATTTATTGGTTGGGGTCAAGGGTGATTTTCAACTTGCTAACTTTTGATTGACAGTACTACTGATTCAGTTGGGAAGATCATCTTTGATTGCCGCATTCCTCATATGTTTAGGGGATTAAGTTCTCGGAACAGAGAACTACATTACCAACGGTTCTGAAGCTGCTTCAAGGACCGCGACGCAGTTTGAAAGTAAACTTTCCCCCCGGGGCGAAGTTAATTGTTGTGTAGTGTGGAATATGATGCACTTGTTGTGTTAGAATGACTAATTTTTTTATTAGATTTCTAATTCTAACATTCTACCGAGTCCTGTACACCCAAACACAAACAAATACCAAACAACGATGTTGTATTTAAGGGATCATCTGCATAGAATTGCTAGAGCAATGCTAATATAATGTCTGCATCTTGAATTTTCTGATCCACTGCATTACATCGTTCAAAACAAAATCTGGTTTTCCTGAATGTGTGCGGCACACAACGCAACGCATAAGAAGGCTCTAACACATGCAATATGAAGGCCATGAGTTTGAATTCTAGTCTCGAGTACCTTTTCAGTTCCAACTTCCAAATAAATAGGTAAATACTTCCTCTTGTCCTTAATTAATATAAGGGGCATTTTGATTTGTCTTAAAGTTTTACCTAATATCTCATTTTTTTATTGACAAAGTCAGTCCTCCATTCTGATCGGATGAGCCTTTTCAGACCAATTTCTCCCGCCTATTAGAAAGAAAACGGGCTTATTGTCATCCATCGGCGCTCCCGTGAGTTAAACGAGAACCGCTAAATGGCGAACCGAACCGATTTTTACAAGAATCCTTCTCATTCTTATACTCTCTCCGTCTCATAATTATTGTCCAATTTGGATTTCCATTTCTAGTTCAAATTGTACTAAAAGTGAAATCTCAAACTGGACAATAATTTTGGGACAGAGGGAGTAATAAGCAGCTCCATCTCAATTCCGTCCTTCAAAATCTCCAAAGTAACCCATCCGACTTCAATATGATCATGTCTCCGATTTCCTAAGGCCATGAGCCTATGCCTTACATAACTGAGAGCACTTATATATATTTTTCCTTTTTTTTTTTAAGCTTATAATATAATATCGCCGCTGGAAATGCTCCTCGGGTTGATGAGGCAGTACAACAACCTGACGATGAAATTAGGCGGCACCGCAGAAGAATGAAGTTCAAGAAAAGGGCGCCCCATGTCTCATCAGGAGTATATTGATAAAATGAGGTTTGAATCGCGTTTGAAAATTAGAGTTTTGATTAAATGTTTTCTGATTATTTGTCATACCCTTTTTCCAAAATAAGTATAAAAAGGGGAGAAGACTATCTGCTATTTATTAGTGCATACTGACAATTGATGATATAATGTTTAGAATTGAAATCTCAATCAATGAATAGTAGCTGAAGGCTAAACATTGTTAAGCACGCAATATAAGAAATCCTTTAAATTGTGAAGTTGGATGCTTGAGAATGATGTTTTGTGCAGCCCCCATGTTTTCGCTCATTTTTAAACTTACATTACTTTTTCCATCATACTCTGTTCTTACCAGCCTGGAATGACTACGCAATCAACAAAGTTCAGCCAAAGGTCGAAAGAGGGACGTGGTGACACGAGTGTTCGGACTGATACTCCATCAGACAGAGCCCAAAAGGCAAAAATGAAGTGGGTGTGCTCTCTAATGTTGATAATGCCCTTAGCGTTGGATTAATCTCTAGCCTAACAAGCTATGCTTATGAAGACTACTAACAAAATAATAAACATACATATGATGAATGATTTGGGGAGCCCTTCCTTCCACCTTACTGTGAATCTTTCTTGATTAACCAGTGGTCTGGTTTCTGCCTTCCCTTTTCAAGATTGATTCATAATCCTCAGCGGGCTTCAAAGTTAAAAATGTATGTGAGAAATTAAAGTGAAAATAAAGGAAGACTACAAGCTTATAGATTTAAAAAAATTTTGAGTTTTATGCAATTTAGAACATTTGATCAATGTCGGTAGTAAGGTTTCATTTTTCGTGAACAGAAGTAATGGAAGAAAAAGAATAGTTAAGAGCAAGATATTCAAAATCATGAAAAATTATAGTTGAACTTCAAAATTGATTTTCTTCAACCATTGTTTTTCTAAAAAATAATATTAATATGTAATTTGAATTGTTTTTTCTTGGGTGTATAAATTCATGAAAGGCAATTTGTTTATATGTGTAAAAAGGTTTCGTGATTTTCCCCTACGTTTATACAATAAAACTTCAAAAATCAATACTTTATAAATTAAAATTTTTGCTAGAGTCTTAAGTCAAGACCAATACAAAAAATCATAATAATCGATAAAATATTAAAATAATTTTCTGCAAAACCTCTACAAGAATATTGGTCCCCCTCAACAAAATTAATTGATAATTACCAAAAATAATAATAAATTTAGTAGATTTATTAAAATATGAATATTAAAATAGTTTGTTGTTTCATAAAATTTATATCTACAGTAATAATTTAATCGACTTTATCTCCTAGATTTAAAAAATTGGATGTTTGTTTTTTAAAAACATTTCTCTACACCAGAAACTTTCTAATTTATCAATACATTATTAATTATTAGTTTACTAATTAAATAATACGTTTATAAATTAATAAAAATTTGTCCTGAAAGTGGAATGAAGGCAAAGTTGAATGAAGGCAAAGTAATAGAGTTGATGGACAGAAAGTGGACTAATTATAGATATATCAGCAATCATAGAAGTACTGTGAAAGGTCGTATCCTTCTGATATGGAAAGAGGAAGAGTTTCATATTACTGTGCTACATAAGGATCTGCAATTTATTCATTGTCATGTTAAGAAGGTACTTAGTGGAGTAGAATTTATACTCACTACAATTTATGCTGATCACTTATCACAAGGACGTACTTATCTATAGGATTACCTCCTAAGTCAAGCTGGTCAAATTATTCTGCCTTAGCTTATAATAGGTGATTTTAATAGCATCTTGTTGCTAGAAGAGAAGATAGGAGGCACTGCAAGTTTAAGTCATGACACTTGTTTGTTTCAGATGGTGATAGATCATTGTGAATTGTTAGAAATGAAGATTGTGGGTAATCACTTTACTTGGAGTAATAAGCAGTTGGGCAGTCAAAGAATCTCTTGCAAACTTGATCGAGCTCTTATAAATGAAACATGCTTCAATCTTTTCCAGATGAAATAGCAATAGTGTTATCTCCTGGTATCTCAGATCACAGCCCCATCCTCATGAAATGGAAGCAGGAAGCGGTAGCTTACAAGAAGCAGTTTAGGTTCTTCAATATGTGGGCCTATCACCCTGAATTCACAGAATTAGTGAAGAAGGTTTGGTGTAAGAAGATTAAGCATACCTTGCAATATCAATTTTTTTGGAAACAACAGCTTCTAAAACCTGAACTAATAGGAAGTATTTTAGTGAGATTGAGCACAGTGCCTAGCAACTGAAGGATGACCTAGTTTCAATCCAGCAACAGTTAGATAAAGACTCTCAAAATGCAGACTTACAGCAAAAAGAAAAGGATTATCTGGGGCAATATGTGATAGCTAACAAGGCAGTGCTTAGTTAATGGTAGCAAAAACTCAAAGACCTGTGGACTAATGAAGGAGACATCAACTCAAGGTTGTTTCATGCTAGCCTCAAGCAGAGAAGGATGGGAAACAGAATTCTGCACTTCATATATTAGTAAGGAGAGTTGGTGGAATAATGGAATCAAGTACAAAGTCACTTCATTAGTTAATGTGTAACACTGCTAGGTACTAGGGTTTCTAGAACTCCAGCAAATAGTGAAATCTTTAATTCCGGATCAAGCTCTCTGTTGATCAGCAGCTCCTCCTGATTAAAAATTTCACTTTTGCGGATGTCAAAGATGTTGTTTTTTGTATTAACCTAACAAATTTGCTGGCCCCGATGGCTT